AAAAAAAAAAAAAAAAAAAAAAAAAAGATTTTTGACCAGTTTCTCTAATGGAAGATTTTACATCTACACTTCCCAGAGATAACCCAATGGCATTTAAAAACAACACTGAAAAGAGAGTCCCAGAGACAACTTAAAGGAAAACTTCTTGCTGCAAATCAGGATCAGGACAGAACCCAAAAACAAAAAAGGAAGCTGATGTGGTGCTCCTACAACATGGTAAGATGACAGAGAGCAAGTTCTTACACAGCCAAGCAGACTATGGGACAGACTCCAGGTGTTCAGGACCCCTGCAGTGGACAAGACTGTACTGTGACTTAGCCAGTGAACACACACACACGCGGAACATGGCTACAAAATGCCATCAAGACATTTTTTTCTCAAGAATTACTAGTGAGAAAAATATACACTTCTGGTATCAAAAAGGCAATGTTGCAAAACCACATACATAAATAATTTATCTTACTTTCTACAGTTTACCCTAGCCCTCTGCTTACATCTAACTCACCTCTCCTATAAAATAAAGTTTCTGCAGGATAAAAATAGCTTAAGATAGCTTTTAAGTATTTCTATTCAAAGTGGTAGGTATACTGTCAGAGTTATCATTATTATCTTTCTTTCCCTTCCTTCCTTTCTTCCTCCCTACCGCCCTTCTTTCCTGCCTTCCTTCTTTGCAAAAGGGATCTCGCTCCATCACTCAGGCTGCAGTGCAGTGGTGCAATCATACCCCACTGCAGCCTCAAACCCCGGTGCCCAAACAATCCTCTGGCCTCAGCCTCCCAAGTAACTGTGGCTACAGGTGCACACGACCATGCCCAGCTAATGTTTTATCTTTTGTAGAGATGGGATATCACTATATTGTCCAGGCTGGTCTTGAACTACTGGCCTCAAGTAAACCTCCCACCTCAGATTCCCAAAGTGCTATAATTACAGGTGTGAGCCACCATGCCTACCCTACTACCTTTCTCAAATCAACAGGAACTTGAAAGTTAGCAAATTTCATAAATGAAGCACAATTATTGGTTGACTGCCATTATCAATTAACTATTGAGGCAATTTTAGAAAGCCAAACTCCCAATGAAATAAAATCAACATATTCTTCTCAAAGAAATAAGTGTAGCAAAACAAAGAAGGACATTGTTCCATATGTATATTTCCATATGTCACATATGACAAATTTATAATATCATTTCCACCCATTACTGTTTAACAGGTATTTTTCTTGTAATACAGCTAGATCTTTTTTCTTGTAGTTTGTTACAACCACCAAATTCTGAAATATTTCCAAACTTTTTTTAAATGCAAATAAATAAAAAATAGAAAAAACATAATAATGATTATAAAAACCAACAGAATTTTTCCAACCACATTTATTAAAGATGCCTTAGTCACTAGTGAATTACTAGAGCTAGTATAGATAAAACACTTAAAGTCCTAAGAAAATGTTTCATCAAAATTACAAAACTTGTAACTTTCCCAATCTAAAACTTACAAGTTTCTAAATGTGAAGATGAAGAATTGTCACGAAATACCTAAAGTTATCAATCCATATAATTCTTTAAATTTGCGACTTGGGAGGGTATCTCCAGTTAACACAGAAAGCTACGATTTACTGGGATCACAGAAAAATGGATGTTGCAGCTTTGGCATAAGAGCGTGTATGTGCGACAGAGAGGGAAAAAGCATGCTTGCACAGCATCCAAGGTGGATATAGACCACTCTAGTATTTTTGATTTAAGATTTGAATGAGTTGATACAGACTGGAATGAGGTCTGGATATTCTCTAAATATTTGGCAGTTTGGAGCACAGTGCTAGGAAATAGTAAAAGCAATAACCCAAATGTTGCATGCACAATCAACTATCTAGCTTGTTTTAAGCAGACTAAATGTAAATAGGAATTTCCACTGAACAAAGGAGATTAAGGAGAAGGACAAAATGCCTCATTGTTTTTATTTCATATGAACTTTTTCTCTCTCATTTCAACACAGTATTCAATATATAACAGTCATTTCTGCAACTTCAAATATAATTTTATGATGTTGAAAATGAGTCATCACTGAAGGTGCTCTCTACTGGGTTTCTGCGTAAAGCACATTATTTCTTCATAGAATAATTCAAAATGAAATATGATAACATGTATTTTGCAGGGTTCAGGGAAAGGAGAGGTATTTCTTGGTGTAATGATTAATTTTATGTGTCAACTTGCCTGGGCCAAGTTGACTGTACCAGAAACATAATTTCTGGGTGTGGTGTGAAAATTCTCAGGATGAGATTAGGTTTTCAACAGCAGATTCAATAAAGTACATGGCCCTCCTTAGAGGGGGTAGCCGGAATACAACAAAAGACAGAGGAAGGAGGAATCTGCCCTCTTTCCTGCCTCACTGCTTGAGCTGGGACATCTCATCTTATCTTCTGCACAAGGACTGGAATTTATACCACAAAATCCCCTGTTCTCAGGTCTTCAGACTCAGACTAAATTATGCCATTAGCTTTTCTGGGTCTCTAACGTGCAAAGAGCATATTGGGAAACTTCTCAACCTCCATAATCATATGGGTCAACCCACTGTAATAAAGTTGCTTTTATAAGTATGGATACAAATGTAAACATAAACACACTCATAAATACACACACACAAAACCTACTGGTTCTGTTTCTCTGGAGAACCCTAACTATATACTAAGTATATTTAAAATTTAAAATAAGTAGATTTTTTCCATGAAAAATGAAAGAACAGTAAGTATTGATAGTTTGTTTACTTGGTAATACAGTTAGGAATTTGAAGTACTATGGTTACATCAGGTTATTAGTAATAAAAGGAGATATATACTTATGCCACCCCTGTTTCATAAAATATGGAAAAGGAAGGAAATCAGATGAGGCAAACAAAGTACTTTTAGTTATTATACTTATTTAAAGAAAAAACAATTCTGCATGTACCTTTACTTTGTGGCAGTATTTAATTACTATTTTAAAAATTAAAATATATATCTCCCACCCCCAGCCCGGACCCACCAAACAACAATGACGGCTGCAACCAAAAAATAGCCGGGCGTTGTGGCAGGCGCCTGTGGTCCCAGCTACTTGGGAGGCTGAGGCAGGAGACTCGCTTGAGCCCAGGAGTTGGAGGTTGTTGTGAGCTGTGATGCCATGGCACTCTACCTAGGGGGATAGCTTGAGGCTCTGTCTAAAAAAAAAAAAAAAAAAAAAAAAAGACTCGGAGAAGGACCAATTTGAAAAATGAATACAAATATTTCCCTTTAAAATTATAGACATATTCAAATTTATAGCACTGCAAGTCTTCCTCAAGAGAACGGAAAGAAAGGAAGTTAACAATTCAATGGGACATCTCAAGCAACTGGAAAAGGAAGAACATTCCAATCCCAAACCCAGCAGAAGAAAAGAAATAACCAAAATCAGAGCAGAATTAAATGAAATTGAAAACAAAAGGATTATATAATAGATCAATAAATCTAAAAGTTGGTTTTTTTGAAAAGATCAATAAAATAGATAAACCTTTGGATAACCTAACCAGGACAAAAAAAGAGTAAAATCTCTAATTTCATCCATCAGAAATGGTAATGATGGGGAGCGCAGGCGGGCGGGAGCGGGCCAGTGGCGGAGGCCGGCCCGGCGGCGGCCATGGACCGCTTGTGTGGACCAGCGGCCTCTTGGAAATCAACGAGACTCTAGTGATCCAACAGCGCGGGGTGCGCATCTACGACGGCGAGGAGAAGATCAAATTTGATGCTGGGACACTCCTTCTTAGTACACATCATCTGATTTGGAGAGATCATAAAAATCATGAGTGCTGCATGGCCATTCCTCTTTCCCAAATTGTGTTCATTGAAGAACAGGCAGCTGGAATTGGGAAGAGTGCCAAAATAGTGGTTCATCTTCACACAGCTCCTCCTAACAAAGAACCTGGACCATTCCAGAGGAGTAAGAACTCCTACATCAAACTGTCTTTCAGAGAACATGGTCAGATTGAGTTTTATAGGCGTTTATCAGAGGAAATGACACAGAGAAGATGGGAGAATGTACCAGTTTCCCAGTCATTACAAACAAGTAGAGGACCCCAGCCAGGAAGAATAAGAGCTGTAGGAATTGTAGGTATTGAAAGGAAACTGGAAGAAAAAAGAAAAGAAACAGACAAAAACATTTCTGAGGCTTTTGAAGACCTCAGCAAGTTAATGATCAAGGCTAAAGAAATGGTGGAATTATCAAAATCAATTGCTAATAAAATTAAAGAAAAACAAGGAGACATCACAGAAGATGAGACCATCAGGTTTAAATCCTACTTGCTGAGCATGGGAATAGCTAACCCAGTGACCAGGGAAACCTACGGCTCCGGCACACAGTACCACATGCAGCTGGCCAAACAGCTGGCTGGGATATTGCAGGTGCCTTTACAGGAACGAGGGGGAATCATGTCACTGACGGAGGTATACTGTTTAGTAAACCGCGCTCGAGGAATGGAATTGCTCTCACCAGAAGATTTAGTAAATGCGTGCAAAATGCTGGAAGCACTGAAATTACCTCTCAGGCTCCAAGTTTTTGACAGCGGTGTCATGGTAATCGAGCTGCAGTCCCACAAGGAAGAGGAAATGGTGGCCTCGGCCCTGGAGACAGTTTCAGAAAAGGGATCTCTAACATCAGAAGAGTTTGCTAAGCTTGTGGGAATGTCTGTCCTCCTGGCCAAAGAAAGGTTGCTGCTTGCAGAGAAGATGGGACATCTTTGCCGAGATGACTCAGTGGAAGGCTTGCGTTTTTACCCAAATTTATTTATGACACAGAGCTAAGGGTTTTCCATTTGAAATCATTTTTGTCCATGTGCTTGCATTCATGTAGAGGTTGTATGACATTGAACTAAGAGACAAACCCTGATCACCCAGGAATTTATTGGAACTTCACAATAGAATGTAAAAAACTCTCTTCATTTCTGCTTAAGTAGCATGATTCAGGAAGATTATTTAGGATACACATAGGAAAATAAGAAAAAATGAATGCCAGTATGGATTTAAAATCATGTTATAGTTGTGTAGAACCTTAAGAGTTTAACTTGAAATATGGTGAATTTTAATTTGATCTTCAAATCTCACCATTCTATAAAGAAGGGAATTTAGTTTTGCAGAGAAGAGAAAGAAAGGTGGCCTGCTGGGACAGCTTGGCTTATTATTTATAAGTGAAGTTATTCTCTAGCCCTCCTGTGTCCATTTTTTTTTTTTTTTCCAGTTTCTGGCCAGGGCTGTGTTTGAACCTGCCACCTCCAGCATATGGGGCCAGTGCCCTACTCCTTTGAGCTACAGGCGCCACCCCATTTTGGGATTTTTTTAATGAGGGAAGTTATACCCTCTAGGCGGGGCTGAAGAACAGCACAACATTGGAACAGAGTATGGAACTGCAGCGTGCCATGTGAGGCTCCTGTTAGGGCTTTTAGAAACAGTCATAGGCATGTCTTCAGCAGACTAAGTAAAACACCTTTGTGAAAGGAGAGAATTTTATTGGACTTAATATATATTCTAACTAGTTTCTTTTAGTTTTTTTAAATGATGATTTCATGGCATTTAAAGAATGCAGCTATGTCATTTTGTGAAAAAAATGCTGTGGATTTTGAAACTCAATTAGAAAGCTGTATAAACATGCCCAGAGTTATGATTACAAAATTTGGAAGGTGAACAGCTCAGGAATTCCCTAGACTGTTGTGCAGGTGGAAGGGCAGAGTGAACCTTTCATAGCTTTACAGGAAGCTTCGTGTTCTTTTACCTCAAAGCCACAGACAGGAAATAGAAAGTAGAAAACTAATAGCTTCTTTTTCCTTCAAGGAGTTTCAACAACAAACTTTAAAAAAATCTATCATATTCCAGCAGTATTTTTTTCTTTGCTCCGTAATTATAAATTATGTGGAGTATTCTAGTAAAACGTTTTATTGAGAGAAGAGAAGCTGGCTGATGCTGCTTAGAGATGGCATGAATTTTACAGAGGACTGCCTGACTTCCTATCACTATGCTGCCTGCAGTATGCTGGCACTATCTCAAACTCAGGGATCCCACAGGACAGGAGACTCTCTTTGTGAGATGGAGTGGGAAGTGGAAGGGTAATGATGGTTTTGCCTAAGCCTCCAGAAGGCATAGGGAGAACCCCTCAGACCAGGAAAAGGGCTGCCCAGGGTCACATCTGGGACCCGTAGGTTTCCCAAACCTGTCACTGACTCTTCATTGTAGTGACAGATCCCCTAAGTCCCCCATTACCCAGCCTCAGGTTTATCTGGAGGATAAGTCAGCATCTGGCCCCCAAGTCTTTTAGGATCGGCTGGACCACTGTATGCATTTGTATGTCTTGCCTCCTCTGGGCTGCACTTTCTGTTTCACCCTGCTCTGGCAAACTTGTGCACACATACACAGGAAATATCTCATCTGGCTAAGATTTTTAACACATTAATTCCCATGTTAGTTGTATTTACCTTACACGAGTTTTGAGCCCAGGGCCTCAGGAAGCATATATAACTCACAGGTCTTTGACCTAATAAAATGCTAATTTATTAATGCTAATAAAATAAAAATAAAAGGCCACAAGGGAATTTTTTTTTCTAGTGTGGCATTCAGTGTGTTAAAACTTACAAGGATAAATATTAATCTGTATCGCCAGATCAAATGAGTTGCAAATAAGATTATTGGAACTACTAGATCTAGCTCTAATGATTTGGATTCATATACTTATTTACTTAAGTGTGACAACTGATTAACAAAAGTGTAGCAATCTGAATTATATAAGGTGAACTACAGAGGAAGAAAAGTAACATGAATATATTTTACAAATATCATATTAATTAAAAAGTATGATTGATTTTATTATTTTTAAAGTGGGCATTCTTCACTATTTTCAGATCTGTGTGTATGTGTGTGTGTATATATATATATATAATTTTTTTTTGACAAATAATGTGTCCTTTTCCCTCTAACATCGGAATTATTTTTAAATACAATGAATTAGGCCCTAAGTGCAAAACTGTTCTGTCTCGGTGCTCACTGGAATGATTATTCCTTTTGCTTTCCTAACTTTGCTCCTTAGGAGCATGAATTTTGTAGCTTTATGGCAATGGTATATTTTAGTCATTTACTGTCAAGAATAAATTTTTTACTTTGATACAAAGTAAAGATTGTTTTCAGGGTTACATGATTGGTGTTAATGTATATACAGTAAAATTAGTACAAAAATTTAAAATGATTTTTCTTAACTTGGTGTTCTTTTTAAGTATTCTTTGAAAAATATATAAAAGTGGTAAGGCTTTGATCATACTAAGCCAGTATGTTAAAAGTTCTTTTAGATTTCATAATCAAGACAGTGCTTGATTAAGCTCTTAGTATTTTAGTTGTGTTAAAAGGATGGGAAATGAGTCATGAATTGTTCTGGTATTTAAAAATTCTTGATATGAATTCCACTGTTGATCAACCATGTGTATTCGTATGAATGTACTTTCTCTTGTTCCCTGTTTTCAGACTAATCTTAGAAGACGTCGATTTATCGTGTCATTATTCTCATCCTCAAGTACTTAAAATGGTTCTCTTTTGTCCAACAGTCTAAGAGTCTTCATTGTGGTAGGGTGGAGTCACGACTCCTAAGGTGGTTAGGTTTTAAAGACAGTGCCTGAGAACAAAATTGAGCACGCTCAAAATGATCCTTGAAAATCTAAATTACCAATATAAGTTTCTTTATAGTCTTAAAAGTTTGAATCCCTTGGGAATGTACATAGGTATGAATATATTATGCATATCGGAAGTATAATGTATAATAAAAACTGCGTATCAATAAAAAAAAAAGAAATGGTAATGATGAAATAAAAACAGACTCCTTAGGAATTCAAAAAATCCTTAATGAATATTACAAGAAACTCTATTCTCAGAAATATGAAAATCTGAAGGAAATAGACCAATACTTAGAAGCACATCACCTTTCTAGACTTAGCCAGAAGGAAGTGGAAATGTTGAACAGGCCTATATTAAGTTCTGAAATAGCATCAACTATACAAAATCTCCCTAAAAAGAAAAGCCCAGGTCCAGATAGCTTCACATCAGAATTCTATCAAACCTTTAAAGAGGAACTAGTTCCTATAATACTCAACCTTTTCCACAATATAGAAAAAGAAGGAATAGATACACGTCCCTGTGCTCCCGAGCACCCGTGGCATGCAGCCCCACGGCCACCTGACACGGCTTGGGGGCGAAGGAAGGCGACCTTTTCCTTCAGCTGCCGAGGAAGCTGAAGCAGGAGAATCTCTTGAGCCTAGGAGTTTGAAGTTGCAGTGAAACTGTGATGACACCATTGCACTCTAGCCCAGGCAGCAGAACAAGGCTCTGTCTCAAAAACAAACAAATAGAAAATAAAAATCCCAGCTATTCCAGCTGAGGCATCAGTTATGTGGGTAAAGAAACCATCTTGGACATCCAGTCCAGTCTATCTTCTTTTTGAGGACAACCACATGAGTAGACCCAGCTGAGCCCAGTCAATCACAGAATCAGGACAAAAAATAATATTCAAAGCTATTTTGGCACTAGCAGTGTGATCCATGGCAAGAAAGATGAGCAGTCTGTTCCAACCAGTTAGATTTCCAAGAATACTTCAGAGAGCCAAGACACTATAAAAGAAAATAGGAAGACTTGTTAGGTATTATTAAAGGCATGAAAGTTGAATTAAGTGCAGTGAATGTACAGACTACAAAGCCATCAAAGAGAAGACCACTTAAAAGTTTGGGGACTACAACTGGCAGGCTTCAAAGAACTACAGAACATGCCAAGAAGAGAAATGAGACCCTGAGTCCTGAGCTGGTGGCAGCTGCATCTGCTGTTGCAGATTCCCTCCCTTGTCCCATTTTGACAAGCAGATGACCAAGTCAGAGCTGCTTAGGCAGCTCCAAGAACATGAGGAAGACTCAAGGGCACAGAAAGACGAAGGGAGACCTACAATTAGTTTTAGTAACATAGTATCAGATATGAAAGTTGCCAGATCAGCTACAGCCAGAGTTAATACAAGACCAGAGCATCAGATTCAACTTGATGAAGGACTTGACAGTTATGTTGACCAAGAGAAGACTCCTAATCTCAGAAAAAGGAGAGATTTATTCAAGAGGAAGAGACTTAATATTTTTGACATTAAGGCATTTACTGAAGAACCACCTGAAACACAAACATCACCCTTACTTTGGGATGTGGAATTTGCTAAGCAGTTAAGACATTAACTGAACAGCCCTTTCAGAATGGGTTTGAAGAGATGATCCAGTGGACAAAAGAAGGGAAGCTGTGGGAATTCCCTATTAACAATGAAGCAGGTTTCAATGATGATGGTTCAGAATTTCATGAACATATATTTCTGAATAAATACCTGGAGGATTTCCCAAAACAAGGACCAGTTCGCCACTTCATGGAGCAGGTGACATGTGGCCTGTCCAAAAACCCATATCTAAGTGTTAAACAGAAAGTTGAGCACATAGAGTGGTTTAGAAATTATTTTAATAAGAAAAGGGACATTTTAAAATAAAGTAACATACAGTTCAATTATAACCATAGAAATTTTTATTTCAAGCTATTAGAGATGGATATAACTAAATAAAATAATTTTATTAAAAAAAAAAAAAAGAAAAAGAAAAAGAAGGAATACTACCCAACACATTCTAGGAAGCAAACATCACCTTGATCCCCAAACCAGGAAAAGACCCAACAAGAAAAGAAAATTACAAACCAATATCACTAATGAATATTGATGTGAAAATATTCAACAAGATCCTAGCAAACAGAATCCAGCAACACACCAAACAAATTATACAGCATGACCAAGTGGGCTTTATCCCAGGGTCTCAAAGCTGGTTCAATATACAAAAATCGATATAAAAAAAAAAAATATATATATATATATATATATATATATGTATATATATATATATGTATATATATACATATATATATATATAAAAATCCATCACATAAACAAATTAAAAGCAAACATCATATGATTCTTTCAATTGATACAGAAAAAGCTTTTAATAATATCCAGCATCCTTTCATGATCAGAACACTTAAGAAAATTGGTATAGAAGGGACATTCCTTAAACTGATAGAGGCCATCTACAGCAAACCCACAGCCAATATTGTATTGAATGGAGTTAAATTGAAATCATTTCCACTCAGTTCAGGAACCAGGCAAGGTTGCCCATTGTCTCCACTGCTTTTTAACATTCTAATGGAAGTCTTAGCCATTGCAATTAGGGAAGAAAAGGCAGTAAAGGGTATCCACACAGGGTCAGAAGAGATCAAACTTTCATTCTTTGCAGATGATATGACTGTATATCTCAAAAACACCAGGGATTCTTAGAAGTGATCAAGGAATACAGCAGCGTCTCAGGATACAAAATAAACACTCATAAATCTATAGCCTTTATAGATACCAACAATACTCATGCTGAAAGAACAGTCAAGAACTCTATTCCATTCACAGTAATGCCAAAAAAGATGAAATATTTGAGCGTTCACCTAACAAAGGAAATGAAAAATCTCTATAAAGAGAACTATGAAACTCTAAGAAAAGAAATAGCTAAAGATGTTAACAAATGGAAAAACATACCATGCTCATAGCTGGAAAGAATCAACATTGTTAAAATGTCCATACCACCCAAAGCAATATACAATTTTAATGCAATCCCTAATAAAGCTCCATTGTCATACTTTAAAGATCTTAAAAAAATAATACTTCATTTTATATGGAATCAGGAAAAACCTCAAATAGCAGACATTACTCAAAAATAAAAACAAAGCAGGAGGAATCACACTACCAGACCTCAGACTATACTATAAATCCATAGTGATCAAAACACCATGGTACTGGCACAAAAACAGAGAGGTAGATGTATGAAACAGAATAGAGAACCAAGAGATGAACCTAGCTACTTACCATTATCTGATCTTTGACAAGCCAATTAAAAACATTCAATGGGGAAAAGATTCCCTATTTAAAAAATGGTGCTGGGTGAACTGGCTGGTGACCTGTAGAAGACTGAAACTGGACACACACCTTTCACCATTAACTAAGATAGACTCTCACTGGATTAAAGATTTA